AGGTGACGTTTCTTAATTCCCAATAATATGACACTGGCTCATGTGAATCCGCAGTATATGCTAGGCGCAGAGGAATTAGCGTCAAATTTGTTTATTTTTTCATCTTTGATCGTACCGATATTTTTTCTCACCCTACAGATCGATAGATCAAGAGGCAGGGCTGTGCGACATGTGAATCACATATATATTCAAAAAATCTCTAGAGTTTAAACTCTGCATAGATGACATTCTTCGTGGGATAGAAAATATGGGGCCAGTCGTAGATAATAATAAGGCTATGCATTGCGAGACTTTCAACAATCCTTCATACTACCATCAGCATCCTCGGAAGATTGGTAATTTTGCCTCAGATGAATGTATCTGGTGAAGAAGGTTCTGGCCGTGTCGACTACGCAATCAAGAAAACGTCATGTATTCTTTGTATTTATTTTTCGTATTAATAATAAAAATTTTCGCTTACAGGCCGTAAGGGAAACCACGTGATTTTTTTATTTTGAATATAAAGCGTTTTTGTATAAAATTTATTAATCATGTCTAATACTCAATTCAACAATTCATTAAGGGAATTAAATGCTAAACTCTTAGCTGAGATTGTAGAGCTTAGAAAGGAGAATGCTGAGATTCCTGATCTTAAAAGAAAGTTAGCCGAGTTTGAATCAGAGAAAGTTGAGCTTAAAGCCAGGCTTGCCAAAGCTCTAAGATAAGCTGTGAAAAAGCGTAAGAGACGTGATGCTGAGAATGTTGAACTCAAGACTAGAATTGAGGAGTTGGAGAAATGCAAGGTAGATTCTTCAGCCGAGAATGTTAGACGCGATGTTAAGTTTGCTGAGCTAAAGGCTGAAGTAGTGAAATTAACCAAAGGCGCTCAGATTTCTCCTGAAGTAATTGTCAATGTATCTAGCACCATTACAGATCAGTGTAATAAGAGGTTCCATAAAGACCAGATCACTTTTCTGCCATCTTGTGTGAGTGATCAGAAATCATCAGATGATAGGAAAATGGATACTTTCTTGGATTATACAGATAAGAAAATGTCAGTAATGGGATAAAACAATACAATAGGGGCTACTGTGTGAATCAAAGTCATCAGATAGTACAGAAACAACCCTGCCATCTACTTCACTGATATCGCTAAAAGAATCTTCGGATTCAAAAACTGTGGAAATACTTCAAGACCAGCAAGAGAACAAAGAAGCTCGATCGCATAAAAAGAAAGAAGTGGAAAATATCGTGCAAGATGTATTTGATTTCACCATGGATGAATCTGATAAAAATCACATGACAAATTTTTCACTTACGGCCCGTAAGGGAAATTCAGATATATTGAACAATATAGCCCGCTTATACGAAGATGCATGTAATGCAGAAGATGAAACGATAAAAGCCAATCAGGTAGAAATTTTATGCTAGCTTGACTTTGTCAAGGGACTGGATAAAAGTGTGAATGAAATTATAATCAAAGAAAAGGTGGGTATGAAAAAGGCCAAAGGATTGATTTATGATTTTATTTTTACACACAATCCTGGCATCAAACGAAATACTTTATATCAACGCATCGGTAGAGCCAGGAAGATTTATGAGTTTATCGAAAAAATAGGAATTAATAAAATCAAGTATATCAAAACATGTAATGCGAATTCTATTGCAGACTTATCCGATAGTAAAATTCAAACTATTATTGATTATTTCTCTAAGAATCCCGATACCAAATTATCCAATAACCAGGATAGTTCTATTATTGATTCTTCACCGAAGGAGGATGAACTACTGGAAGTTAAAGTAAGTGCATCCATTGAATCCGATTCTCTCAGCTCAGAAACCAATCAGAATAGTGTATTGAAGATGCAAATGGAAGCCCTAGTTTCAGCTGAAGAGGACCCTTGGGAGAAGATAATTAGAGAAACTTTTAAGAAGGATGGGATAGAGAAAGAAAGGGAGAAAAAAACGTCATCAAATGTAGTAACTCCAGTTAAGGGGTTGCGTAGCAATCAGGCAAATGACTACGATGATGTGTATTTTAATGAGGAGGCAAATGAAGTTAAGTCAGATGATGAAAATGATTCTAGTGATTCTGAAGAAGAGATGCACCGAAGGGATGAATCAGACGATGATAGGTATAATGAATACAGTGGATACAGTGGATGTGGTGGAGGTTATTATTATCGTGATGGAAGATATAAAAGGAAAGTCTCACTAATGATGAGTCCTATTATATCTCCAGTATCCGCCTAGGAGAATTATTGGGTGGATTGTAGACTGAATTATCATATAGGTTTATTTTTTTTTCAGTCAAATTGAGATCAGCAAATTAATAGACATTAGGGTTGCCATAATTGTTCTATGTTTTGCGACGATCGTAGTATCCAGGAGCGACGGTTCTGCAGTATTAACATTTCGCAAAATAATGTGTAGTAATATTATGATAATCGTGACATGTATCATGGGAACAAGCAACCAAACTTTCTCGCACATTCTCAAAAATATGTATAACCCCTTAATGATTTTTACATATGAATAGCGTAAGAAGAGGCAGTTGATCAGATTTTCGTGATGTGATCATATTAATATAATTTTTCCCCAAGCGTACTCCAAGATTGATCCTGCAAATTGTATAAAAAGGTAGTGTCCCAGTTAGTAAACCCTTTTATCCGCCTTGTGCGAATATAAGCAAGAATCAAAGAAAAATAAAACGAAAAATTATAATAAAATTAATAAATTTAAAACTGCTGTTATTTGCATCATCGATATTTACAATCAAATAAACTCATATATTCCGCAAAGTAATAATAAAATAAGTTGGTTTATTGCTTGATTAGTTTCTTTATACATGTCAACACAATATTAATCTATTTTCCCGCCTTCACAGATGTTTCAAAACAAACTGGACATTAAGGTGGAAATGATACCTTGAGTCAGTGTTTGTCTATTTATAGCTATAATGGGGTGATCAGCACCAGAGTCAACTGTTATAGATATGTTGGAATTAGGTTGTCAGAATCCCTGGTAAAGCTGACTTCTAGTATTAACAACTCTAAGCTGTCTTAGTATTAGATCTACCACTCGCTCTATCTCAGCCCGAATCAGATCCCAGAGAAAATTCTCGACATGAGTATTTGGATTTTGCTGATCTATGGCTTCTTTGCTAATATTATAACACCCTTCAAAATCGAGATACTTTAAATTAAGATACGAATCAGCAATTTTTTTGATAGTTATATCGGTAATTTTACAAAAACTAAGGTTGAGATGTTAGAGATTTGGACAGGAATGAATGGCATTGCAAATTGAAGTCTTAGTGACGTAAACACACCCACCAAAATCAAGATACTCTACACTAAGATGTTTCTCTACATTAAGGTGTTTCTCTACAATAAGAAGTTTTTCTACTAATATATCACATCTATTTTTTCTTCAATAGCTACTCAGAATACTGAATCTTTGTAAATTTGGGTATGAGTTTAAGATGTGACTTATAAATCTTTCAGAAATCAAATGCGTACAAGTAAAATGAAACTCTTGTAAAGCTTAGCAACTGTCTGCAATTTTAATTAAAGATCTATCAGTAATGCCTTGGCAGAAAGAAATATTTAGATATTCTATTTTACGATATGATCCTACCATTCCACATAAAGCTTTATCACCCATAATACCACTACTACATAAATTAAGATATCTCAGATTGGGGTATGCTTTAAGCTGATTTAATGCTCTATTCTAAAACTCACACAATTTTTGAAATTCAAATGAATTATGTTTGGGCATGTTCTTATGATGCCTTCAATTTTCTTATTTGAAAATGGATTATAGTATGGAATTTCGAGATAGGTTAGTTTTGAGCTATAAATTGGCTTTTGCTTTTTACATACTAATTCTATGAATTTCTTTGCTTTGGGATCGTTCCCCTTTAGCTTAATGCGTCTCTATAGAATAGGAGCACCACATCTGTACCATAATCGGGAAATATATAGAGCAGGGTAGATGGATTTATCTATCAATAAGAAATGTAAAATATGTTCTAGTACTTCTAGTAAATAAAAGATGGTTAAATGCGTCATGTGAAGCACCTCTGACTAAATAGTCTATATTATATGTTATATCTTTAATCGAAAAAATAAATTAGCCAAGCTGGTAGATCACTGCTCCAGACCCTACACCTCTGTATTTTGCTTGTCTAGTCCAAATATCCAGGGCTAATTTCTCTGTATTTGACAGTGTTGGTATATGACATCATATGACTTATATGACTTACATGATTTGTCATTTGTCATTTGTCATTTATAAATATTTATGACCTTATGATATTGTCATATAATT